TTCTCAAGTTTATAATGACATGAGGACATATATATTGAAAAAAAAAGTTGTATTTAAGTAAGGCATAGCAATTAACAAGTAACAGCCCCGGAAATTCATAATGAAATGTATATTAAAAATATCAAATGCGGAAGCGAAGTCAAAATTTGAATAACACATCCCTTACACTAAACCAAAAACGTGCTCACAAAATATAAAAGATCAAACTACCTAAAGGAGAAACTTGAAAGTAAAAGCTACGAATATAACTATGGAGTCTTTAGGCATCCCCTTCGTCGTCCTCCTGCGGAACCGGCTCGGGAACGATGTCCTCTTGATCTGAAATGATTAAATAAGGAATGAACTACACTAGCCCAGTAAAGACATCACGATATCTCACCGTCATGGAGGTAAAGGTGGGTAGAAACACAAAAAGACCAATGGAGCATAATTTACAACAAATCCTTTTATTAATAATAAAACCTTTACCATTCACTTACCTCGGTGAAATTCATAAAACAATATACGAAAGCAATAACATCATCATCATCATGAAACCATATATATAAATTGTATAACATAATACCTATCAAGCTTTTCGTAATTCAATCGTTACACAACATATTTTCCTCATTTACCAACCCACTAGTATCCATGGGGATCCATAGGGGTCCCGCTACCCGTTAACCCTTAACACTTGAAATCATATTCTAGGGTCGTCCCCATACCCCGTCCGGTATGGGCGCCAAACCATAGACCTCATTACCCCGTCCGGTATGAGGGTGAAACGGGTCGTCCCCATACCCCGTCCGGTATGGGAGACCACAATCCCGGTAGGGTTCCCTACGGACCCGATCCGTCCACCATCTCCCAGGATATCTAGTCAGGCTGACCACATTATACAATTTCCATTTACATAATCTTTCATTCTCCTTTTCCCTCAGTCAGCATTATCAATCACATACAAACAAGCAAAACGATAATTTATGCCAAACAGACAACATACAACATCAATATCCTGGTCATTCAATCCATAATCAATAAAACAGTAAAATATGCACACGAAACTATAAAATGAAAACATCAAACCTCATGCTGCATTTAAAACTGTAAAACAGGCCAAATAACAGTTAACCGACAAACACATTAGACTCGGGCTCCATTAGCGACCTTAAGCAATTTCACACATTCGTTAATTAATGAAATACCGTTTTATCATTTATTGAACTTTAAAACCATGATAGGAAATAGGGTGAGGGGTCCTTACTCGTTTCGGGGTCCCAACACGGCTTCACAGTGCGCTTGCAGGCTGTCCCTAATTTTTCCTGAATTTTTTCCGGGGAACTGAAACGCACTACTGGTACCTGCACGTATTCCAAAAAATCCCAAATTAGGCCCAGGGCCCCTTTCGGCCAATATCGCAACTCTGGCACGGCGGCTCCGCCGTGCTCCGGCGACGGCGCCGCCGCAAGCGGCGGCGGTTTGCCTCGGGTTGGCCGTTTCCGGCCGAATTCGGCCACACTCGCATTGGTTCCTGCGATAAAACAACCCTACGGCCCTCGGGGGGCCAAAAATTTACGAAAAACCGAAGCTTACCGGCGGCGGTGCTCTCGGGTGCGGCGGCTCTCCGGTGAAGTTCGTGTTTTGATGATTCGGCTCCGATTAACCTGTAGAGAAAAGAATGGTGATCACGGTGATATAAAAATTGCATTAAACGGAGGCCGGGAAGGGCCTCATCAGAGGTAAAAACCGAGAAGGGGCGCGGCGGTGCCGCTGGCTTTCGGCCGTGTTTTCCAGCCGTTTGGCCTGGATTTTGGCTCCGATTTGGCCACTGGGGAAATCAGCGTGGAAAAACAAGTCGGGGGTATAAAATTTACCTCGATCGGCGGTCGGAAATCCCTCCGGTGCGGCGGCGGGTGGCGGCGGCCGGCTTCTGGTTCGTCTTCTCCGACGAGGGCAGGTGGCTAGGGTTTGGGGTCTGGTGTGGGAGTCTTATTTATACCCTTTTGCTTTTTGATCTCAGCCGTCCATTTTGATTTAATCTGGGCCATCCGTGCGATTGATCTGGGCCGTCCGATCGCGCGCACGCGGATCGCCAACGTGGCTCGTCCCCGGTCGACGTGGTTTTGCCACGTGGCAGGTCCTGGTTGGCCAGGACTGCTGACTGGGTCTGCTGACGTGGCTGCTGAAGTGGCATGCATTTTTTTTTTTTTTTTTTTCAATTTCTTCAATTTCCCCGGGCGCTACAAACAATTACCAAAGAGCATAAAATATATAAAAATATATACCCCTTTTTTTGTAAGTTTTCTCCTTGATTTTAAATAAATTATAAGAATAAAAATTATAAAAAAGAATAAAAATATTGTGTGCGTGCGTATATACATATATATATATAAGCGTTGTTTCATTAAAATATAAAATTTTAGAATTTTCAAACCCAAAAACCCATTCTCATTTCCAGTTTCATCACCTAAAACTCAACCGTTCAAACCCATATCCAAAAGCCCTCAAGCAAGCCCACAAAGGGTCCAGATGAAAAGAAGCCTAGCCACAACACCCTTCTCTAAACAACATCCTCTGGGAAGTATCCGTTACTTTTAACCTTTTGAGTTGCAGATTGATAAGACGAGAGAAACAGGAAAGAGGATAGACACTCTGTACGACGGCTTCACGGCCAGCTGATGATCATGAAATCTGGTGGTGATGATGTCAAGCGTTGAAGCAAGATGACAGCAAAATCTGGGCTGGCTTCTGTGTGTCGAAGGACAGAGCACAAGCAGCCCATTAGGACATGGAGGAGACAACTGATAGAGTAGAAGACAAAACAAGCAGAGTTCCATATGCAACAAAACCAGTAGATTGCACCCTTGGCAGGGAGCCGATGGAAGAAGATGACATAACTTGTAGCTACAAAGGGGGCTGGACTTACTACATTTATGTCAAACCACACAGCAATCGAATTCATTTCATAGGATATAATGATAGATATACCATTCATAGCTTCAAAATATCTCTTGAACTAACAACAGTTTTACGTAACTTCCTGCAAATGAACGACTAGAAAGCACAATAATTTGATCATTTCACTTCATGTTTTTCCTTCTCATGGTACATGACATGATAAAACTTTGAGTATTGTTCTCACATTACCCATTTAAGATTATTGAACTAAGTTGTAAAATGTTACCAAGATTTCCACCATCCATCATTTGACGTACTTGGCAAACCACTCCAGCATGTTTTGATGGGCCTCATCTGCACGTCTCACTGCTTCTGCATCTTCAACCTTGTACTTCACAGTCCAGCCATGCGCAACATTTGGAAATATCTTCACAAAGCTATCAATCTATGAAGAAAATAGAAGAAACGATTATGTTAAAAATATGTATTATGTGTCACAAAAAAAATTATAGAAATAAATTTGTTTCTCTAATTGTTGACAAAACAGTTTTTGCATGCTTCTGTTACTTGAGAACAACAATTTAAGAAGGAAGAAGAAAGGAACTTGGTAAGATCCAATACTTGAAAACACCATTCTCTGAAGAAAACAAGAGAGGCAAGGCTGTTAACTTAAACAGCCAAAGACTGCAACAAAATCTATCCGTACGGCTTCAAGAGTTCAGAGAAAATATAGATGTTCAATACACATATACCTCACATTTCGCAGCCAAGATCTCTCCATACTGATTCAAGAGTTCGGGTGGAGAGATATGATCCATTTCAGCCCCTAATACAGCAATCGGAACCGTAATCCCTGAAAGAATCCAGCATTTAATCATTGGTTCTGATGATAAGAAGAGGTGGATTGTATTTAAATGAGTCATATGATCTCTAGATTTATATACGACCCGTTTATAAATGAATTGAGCTATTTAAATACACTTAATCTATTAATCCTAAACATGTCAAATGAAACTAATATGAAACCCAAATTCACTCGCTCACTTGTATGTTAAATACATATATATATATTATAATATCTTATACACATATACTCTATTATACATGTCATGCACCTATACTAGGATATGTATGTGTATTTCCTACACCAAATGGGTCATTTATGTACTTTGTCGCAGCAAACTAGGTGATCAATTAACCAGAAAAGAGGTCTAAACGACTTAAGCTGCCTGTGATGTGTCCAGCTCAGGCTTGGTTCATAGTCCCAAGGCCACATTTATTTTTATTATGTTTACAGTATTTTCTTAATATTTTAACTATTTTTTAATTACTATTTTGATGGTTTTTATTAACTTTATTATTAATTCATTAAAATTTATTTTATATTATTATTCAAATATATTATCAACTTTTTAAAAAAAAAAAAATTTCAAGCCTACTCAAGTGGGCTTCAGCTCGGGCGAGATTCATGCCAATGGCAACAGACGTGTGCTAGGCCAAATAGATGACAGGACTGACTTTATTGACCTGGCCAACCTGAGTTGAGTCAAGATCGGACGGGCTTGGCCAGCCCCCCACCCACTATGTCACTTATAAGATAATGTTACAAGAGACTTTATGTTAAAAAAAAAAAGTAAGAAGAAAGTACCGAGTTACTGACTCTTCTGAAAATTTTCTCATACAATAATGGACATTGGACTGCCAATGAAGCTAACAAGATGGGTTTAGATTTTTGTTTACAGAGTGTTTGATATTGTATTTTAAATACTTATAAATTGTTTTAACCACTCCATTACAATTTATCCTTTTGGAAATGAAATAAGCAAGATGCTTATAATTTTCTAAAAATAACCTTAAACACGAAAAAACATGCAATATATTCCCAATCTTCTGGAGGTGCTTTTACATAAAATTATTTATTCTTAAATAACCTTACTTTCAGTTATCTAAAGCACCTAGGGCTACAAGTAACTTAAAAGACATTTCTTTGAGCAGTAGCAAACATTACTAAAACTCTTACCTTTCACCTCATCCAGGGTAACATAAGAAGGATGTAACAAAACAGCCGCTTGAATAAGCTCATATGTTCCCAGCGCAACCACAGTTTTAGCTGCCAACATTGCAAGAAAGTCAATTTTAAATGGACAAATCGTGCACTTCTGCATATGTCAAAGTAATGTAATAATGCATTAAATTGTTTGCAAGTGAAAAGGTGGCAAGGATATGAGTTTCTTAAACATGGCCAAGTTTGAATAACAAAGAGGATAGTGAAACTACCAGGGAACAAAAAGAACAGGGGAAACTAACTCACCACCCCAACAGATGCCAACAGCCCCAATTGCAGATATACCTTTGCTTCTAAGAGCTTCAATTAGTGGCTTCGCATCCTCGATTCCTTTCTCCTATTAACAGTTATAATGTCTCAAAGAATGAATCACAACTATAGCATGCAGGAAGGCGAACATGTATGGTGGTCAAAATTTTTTATAAAATCTGCCACATTTTCAGACAAAACAGTAAGAGAAAGGCTGTTAAACCCAAGTTATGGACATAAATCAGAATATGGAATTCCTATTGAATGTGGAATTTGATTGACAGTTATCTTCGCATAAATCCAGACTAATTCTAGCAATGACAATCTCCAAGCACCAAAAGAGAAAAGAACAAACTGGTCTATGATCTTCTAACCAAACAGGTTGAGGTCGATCAGGTTTCCCAAGCACAAACGGTTCTCCATGGAAGAAGTCAGGAACTGCTGCATAATATCCAGCTGCTGCAACCTTGTCTGCAAGTTTTCTTTTCAGTAGAAAATGAGATTAGTTCAAGAAGAAATTTTTTTGAGAGAAAATTTTGAAAGAAGACTGGCAGACATACAAGAGGAAACACAATACAATAACATCAAACACTTCGGTACTTCTCCAAATTATTAAACAATTATGCTTGATGCAATCTAGGATGACTAGGTCTTAAATTCACGTTCTTGATTGTGGTTTGAGCTGCCTTTAAGACTAGAATCAATTGAAAATAAATGTCAGTTATTAATAAATTTAATTGAATGGTTTGGATTAACAATCCAATAGCCATATTGCTAAGGATTTGACAGCAGGTGTCTGACATGGGTATGAATTTCAGAGTTTGATTGGGCATTTTTATTGAAGAGCACTGTCCCAGAGGTGGGATCTGGTCGAGGGGCCTGAGAGAGAGAGGTCTTGAAGCAAGCTGCTTGCCTCCCTGATTTCTGGTCTTGTCAACTTATACTGAGGCTCATCAAGAGAACCTCCTATATTCAGAGATAACTCTAATGTTAGAGTTAACACTTCCTGCTTTATTAATGATGGACAACATATTTGTAGGGAAGATTTGAGAAGTAAATCCCTGTGAGACTAGTAGGATTTAGGGATCCTGAACAACCAGCATAGTATATATAAGTATAAATATAAAAAATAAATTAAAGTCATAATCCAAAGCCTAAACTGGTTCCCATGGGAACCTGAGTCCTTAATTAATAAAACCACTAGACTACGAAATAGCTGCATCCTTCATGCTTTTCCCATGGATCCTCGCACATAGGTAAGACCAGTAAGCTGATCTTCCAGGTTGTATTCATTCTGATTGTTCATATCATTTGTCCCTACTTCGAAGTGGATATACGCTAAGATGTTTACCTATAGCTTCCAAGGATGCTTCGGCTTGAGAGTCCGCCTCCAATGGATCATTAGTTCATGGGGACCTGCTTTCGGTCTCTGCTCCAGGACAGCTTCTGGTATGGGAATTACATCATGCTTGGTGACTGGTGGAAGAGTGGGCTCCAGTGTTTCATCTCTATGGAACTTTCTGAGACATGAAAGCTGGATGAAAGCAAGATCTTCGGATAATGTAAGGTAACACGACACCAATCCTACCATTTTCATGTAATACTAAGGGGTCTATAAAATCTGGAATCCAGTTTCTGGCAGGGGTGGTGCCAGAGATCATTCTCAATAGGGGTGGAGGCACTGCAGCACATTTTCACCCACCTGGTCAGGGTGATGAGCATCATAAGCAGCCTTCATCTGGCTTGGGCTTTTAGGAGTCAATCCTGGAGATCCTTTAAGACCTGATCTTGTGTGTGTCATTCCATCTCACTGCAAGGATTTTGCCATGAAGGCAATGAGATAAAAGCTTGGGTGGGTACTGTCCATAAACTACCTCAGTCGATGTAAACTTTAAAGAAGAGTGATTGCTGTTGTTATTAGTAACATTCTACCCAAGATAACCAATCCGCCCTTTGCCTTGGCTTGTCACTGGAAAGCAACAACAAATACATTTCAATTGTGCGATTGATCACCTTTGCCTGCTCATCAGATTGAGGGTAGCAAGCAGGACTAAATGCTCGACTGGTTCCAAAGAGGCGCATTGGACACTCGTAAAGGTACATCCTTGACTATTCACTTGGACAGCTCATGGGACTTGGAGAAGGAATCAAAGAATAACTGAGCTACACTTACACTGGTCTATGTGTATGCTAGTGGTAGGAAATATGCATGCTTAAGAAGTGAACCCTGATCTGAAGCAGGCTGGCTGTTTGCTTCCCTGATTTCCAGCCTTTTCAGGCCATATTGAGCACTGTTAAAGAAAACCCAGGATCCTTGGAGATAACTTTGATGTTTAGGTTAATATAGTTGCTTTGTTAATGCCGGATAAACATATTCATAGTGAAGATATGAGAAGTGGATCCCCATTAAACTATCAAGATTAATAAATTCTAAACAATTTAAATCCAACTCCTATAGCAGACATAAATCTAAACAGAACCAATAAATTAAATTCCTAATCCAAAGCGTAAGCCGGTTCCAATTGAAACCTAAGTCCATGATTAATTAAACCAGTAGATCCAATACCTGCACTGGTCTGGCATCATGCCCTAAACCGTTTCAGCACCAAAATTAAAGATTCCAAGCACCATAGTCCAACAGTATAAAATCACATAACTGGAGATGTTTCCTAGTAACAAGTCACCTTAGAATTTCCAATCATATTTCAGGGAACTCCACAGTTTATGGGAAGAATGACCCATGATGGAAAGAAGACAACAGCCATAGAAAAAATTCACAGTATATTCCTCAAATATGGTGACCAAGACAGACAGAAAATTAGGTAGCAGGCATGGGCATGCAGGTAGAATGAACCACAAAGAATGGCAATATGCTTGATAAGTCTCAATTACTAAGACTCATTACTGTGTTACCGGACTCAAACAAATATGTAAAAGTTCAAGATCATGAGACGTGACGCGTAATACTTACAATTCAAATGTACAAGATGTTTCCAAGTATTTACTAAGAAAATAATTTACAAAAAACTGTAAATCGCAAATATAGTAAGAGGAATAGGCATTCAAGAACTTGACTTCACCAGCTGCAGAAAACAAGCATGAAAAGGTTATCATAATTCATACCTCAAGTTTGGAGCCCCAAACCCTGCAGAGAAAATTAGTTATTAGATGAAGTTAGATGATGGTCCTTAATACCAAATAAGATAAGAAATTTGAATGAAAATAATATTTTAATTTGGTGAGAATAAAAACATATGGTTGTTAAATTGAAGATGAGTGAAACTAATTAAATTATGCGTCATGTATTACGAATAAAATAATAGTCAATTATGCATCAAATGCATAAAGTATAACTAAATTTTAAGAATTGAATAGAAATATAATATGTTCGAACCAAAAACAGTATTTATGAATTCGTATGCATAACAAAACTAATATAGGAATTAGAAATTGAACGGAAATGAATTCGTATGCATAACAAAACTAATATAGAAATTAGAAATTTAACAGAAATGAATTCGTATGCATAACAAAACTACTATAGAAATTAGAAATTTAACGGAGCTTGAAACAAACAGCAGCTTCAGGGTAACTAGCTAAGATGCCCTGATGATTAGGAAAAAAAAATGAATATGGCCGAAAATTCAGTAGATATATCCATTTATAGCAGAATGACAACAAGATCTGTGGTATTCGCTATAGCGAACTGAAGATGGACTAAATTAATCGAGTGAAAATACTTGGCAAATGCAAAACTCAGATATCGACAAAGAAGCAAATACAAAGACAAACATTGATGTATATACATTATATATGTGTGAGCGAAGCAGGAATTCTGGAAGAAGCGTACCATAAACATCGGAAACAAAAACAATTGCGCGGCTAGACGCTGGAGAGCCGACGAGATAGGTATCAAGGCCGCCGAGCTTATCAACATGGCCTGTGCCACTGTTTGGGTCCAAGATTGGTGGGTTTGCGTAGCATTGAGGACCTGCCATTGTTGATGAAGCAAGAAATGAGAGTCCGAAACACAGTGGGTAAGCACAGTCGACGCTTTTAAATTTGCAGGGTGACCCCCCTGGCCCACAGCTTACCAAGATCCTTTAGTTTCCTATTTGATATGCTTGTGTGTACACACACACACACACACACGCAAACAAATATTATTTATTTATTTATTTATTTATTTGGCATTAGTTTAATATTGATTTATTCAGAAAAAAATATAAATTTTTAAAGAGAAGTAAAATTATAATTTATTAGTCCCAAACTTTTTTTTCACGTGTAAAGTAATTAAAATTTAATACAACTAAAAATTAAAATTTACAAGAGGTTGCAAACCATGAATATAATTAAGTTGTTGCAAATAAAATTGTAGATTTAAATTAAGTTTCTTCAATGCATCTAATGATAGTTCTCAAGGACTTTACAATTTCAATTATGATTTTCCAATTTACTTCAAGATATTGAGGGTTTTTGCTTTTTTAAAAAATTTGTCATTTGATTTTTTGTTTAAAAAATAAAAAGTAAAACGACTAAATTGAAGTACAATAATGATATTTATAATGCCCTAAAGTTTAATTTAAATACACTGTAGCAGCCCCGGTAATTCAAAAAAAAATGGGAATTATATTATAAATATTAAATGCGGAAGCGAGATCAAAATTTCAGTTAACATCCCTTACACGAAAACCAAAAACGTACTTAAAGTATAAAAGATTAAACTAACTAAGAGAGAAACTCAAAAATAAAACTATGAGTATGACTACAGAGTCTCTAGGCATCCCCTTCGTCGTCCTCCTGCGGAACGGGCTCGGGAACCATGTCTTCCTGATCTGAAATGGTTAAATAAGGAGTGAGCTACACTAGCCCAGTAAGAACATCACGATATCTCACCGTCACGGAGGTAAAGGTGGGTAGAAAAACACAAAAGACCAATGGAGCATGATTTACAACAAATCCTTTTTATTTATGATAAAACCTTTACCATCCACTTACCTCGGTGGAATTCATGAAGCAATATAAGAAAACAATAACATTATCACAAACATGGAATAATATAAGCTGTAAAACATAGCACTTATCACGCCTTTTATAATTCAATCATTATACAACATATCCTTTTCTCATTTACCAGCCTACTAGTATCCATGGGGGTCCATAGGGGTCCCGCTACCCGTTAACCTTTAACATTCATAATCGGTTTCCAGGGCCGTCCCCATACCCCGTCCGGTATGGGCGCCAAAACCATAAACCTCAATACCCCGTCCGGTATGAGGGTGAAACGGGCCGTCCCCATACCCCGTCCGGTATGGGCGCCAAAACCATAAACCTCAATACCCCGTCCGGTATGAGGGTGAAACGGGCCGTCCCCATACCCCGTCCGGTATGGGCGCCAAAACCATAAGATCTCCATACCTCGTCCGGCATGTGAGACCACAATCCCGGTAGGGTTCCCTACGGACCCGGTCCGTCCACCATCTCGCAGGATATCTAGTCAGGCTGACCCCATCATACAATTATCAGTCTACACAATGTTTCATTTTCCTTTTTCTCAATAAGCATCATCAATTCACATTTAAACAAGCAAATCGTAATTCATGCCAAACAGACAACATACAGTATCAGTTCTTCAGTCATTCAACCCATAATTAATAAAACAGTAATATATGCACTCGAAACTATAAAATGAACACATCAAACCTCATAATGCATTTAAAGCTGTAAAACAGGCCAAATAACAGTAAATCATCAATCACACTAGACTCGGGCTCCATTAGCAACCTTAAGCAATTTCACACATGCGTTAATTCAAAAAATACCGTTTTATCATTTTGAACTTTAATACCGTGATAGGAAATAGGGTGAGGGGTCCTTACTTGTTTTCGGGATCCAAATACGATTCACAGTGCGCCTACAGGCTGTCCCTAATTTTCCCTGAATTTTTCCCGGGGAACTGAAACACACTAACGGTACCTGCACGTGTTCCAAAAAAAAACCCAAATTAGGCCCAGGGCCTCTTTCGGCCCAAATCGCAACTCCGGCACGGCGGCTCCGCCGTGCTCCGGCGACGGCGCCGCCGCTGGCGGCGGTGAGTCGCCTCGGGTTGGCTGTTTTCAGCCGTTTTCGGCCGAATTCGGCCACACTCGCATCGGTCCCTGTGAGAAAACAACCCTAGGGCCCTCGGGGGGCCAAAAAATCACGGAAAAACAGAGCTTACCGGCGGCGGCGCTCTCGGGTGCGGCGGCTCTCCGGCGAGGTTCGTGTTTTGGTGATTCGGCTCCGGTCAACCTGTAGAGAAAAGAATGGTGATCACGTTGATATAAAAATTGCATCAAACGGAGGCCGGGAAGGGCCTCGTCGGAGGCAAAAATCGAGAGGGGGCGCGGCGGCGCCGCTGGTCTTCGGCCGCGTATTCCGGCCGTTTGGCCCGGGATTTGGCTCGATTTGGCCATAAGAGGAATCAGCGTGGAAAAACGAGTCGGGGTATGAAATTTACCTCGATCGGCGGTCGGAAATTTCCCCGGTGCGGCGGCAGGTGGCGGCGGTCGGCCTCTGGTTCGTCTTCTCCGGCGAGCGGCAGGCGGCTAGGGTTTGTGGTCTGGTGTGGGGGTTCTATTTATAACCCCTTGCCCTTTGATCTCAGCCGTCCATTTTGTTTTAATCTGGGCCGTCCGTTTTTAATTAAATCTGGGCCGTCCGTGCGATTAAATCTGGGCCGTCCGATCACGCGATTGATCTGGGCCGTCCGATCGCGCCCACGCGGATCGCCAACGTGGCCCGTTCAGGAGCGACGTGGTCTTGCCACGTGGCAGGCCCCGGTTGGCCAGGACTGCTGACCGGGCCTGCTGACGTGGCTGCCGACGTGGCTTTTTTTTTTTTTTTTTCCCCTCAGTCCGGGCACTACATACACTACCATACATCTATATTAAATTTATATAATCATCTAAGATCTAATCAATAAAATTATAAGTAAAAAAAAATGTCTTAAATTTAAAAAATAATAAATAAATCCCCATATATATAATCATACGTTAAAACTCAATTAATTTATCTATTTAAATAAAGTAATCTCTAATTTTAAATTAACAAACTATATTGTAATTTTTTAAACCAACCTATCCGATATTATATATAACATTTTTGTCCAAATCCTAACATTTTTGCTATTTGTAGAAAGATTATGAGAGCTAATTTAATGACTAGAAAATAGATCCAAATTTTGGTTTAAAACTTGTAAAATTGTCACACATTATGTAGTCAAAAAAGTTCCAAGTGGGACAAATTTGTGCGTTTAGTGCGCTATCCACTTGCGTTTTGGTCCAGTCAAGAAGTCAAAACCTCCCCCCACACAACCACCGTGCTTGCCTTTCCAAACTTTTGTCTTATTACTTTAATTAATTAAAGTTTAGAATATATACAAATAAAAATTTAGAATATAATTTAAGTTATAAAAGTAAAAAATATGAATAAAACTTAATTAAATTATGTAAAATAATTTTTGTATATTCAATAATTAAATAAAAACATAATAAATCTAAAATGAAATGCAAAGTAAAAATTAAGTTTTATAGTGAATAAAAATCTTATTTATTAAAAATTAATATTAATTAAATTATACATATACACTAATTATAATATCAACTCTTAATATTAACACACACAATTCCGTAAAAAAGTTTATTGATCATCTTCACGTTCATTATAATCATAAAACAATTTCTTAAAATACATAGCCCCCTTACCACACACGATTTCCCTCTTAGAATTTCATGAAATGTAAAAATTAAATACAAACTTGCAGCAGTTTGAATCTCTGTAAATCACTTGCAGGGCGGAAGAGGAGCACCGCACAAGCACCGATTGTGAAAATACGCAGTGTAATCGAACCTCTGTAAATCGCCGCCGACTGGGATCTCTCCACACAGTCTGTTGTAGCTCACATTCAAGAACTGCAAGCTTACAATCGCTGACTCCGGCAGACTCCCTGTAATCTTGTTATGGTTCAGATCCAACCATGTTAAGTTCTCCGACAACTCCACTTTCGAAAAATCAAACTCCAATAAGTTCCTCGACAGATCAATCCACCTGGTTTTGGAGTTGAACACCATCGACGCATCGCCTTCGAGCCTGTTCCTCGACAAATCAAGGTTGCCGAAGTCCTTTTTACCCAATGATGCCGGTATGCTGCCGGAAAGCTTGTTGTGAGACAGGATTAAGTATGGAAATTCTCCGGCGAAGGAACCGAAGGACATCGGTATTTGACCGGTGAGATTGTTTCTGTCCAGGCGGATGGATGTAAGGTTTGGAAGGGTGGAGAGCGAGCTTGGGATAGACCCAGAGAGTTGATTAAATGAAAGATCCAAGAAGATTAGGTTCTTGAGCTGGCTGAGAAAGTCGGGAACTGGGCCGGAGAGATGATTCCAGCTAAGATCAAGGTACTTGAGGTTGGTGAGTTTGGCAATGGCGGGTTGGACTGGGCCAGTGATGTTGGTTAGTTTGTGGAACATTAGGGTTTCGAGGAAGGGAAGGTCGCCGACTTCGGCCGGGATTTGACCGTTGATCTGGCCGGCGAAGATGGTGAGTTTATATACTCGGTTGGTGGTGCGGCTGCATTTGAGTGAGTACCATATGCAGCAGTCGACTTCTGGGTTCCATGAGGCAAGGTGGTAAGGATTGTGTAGTGCTTTTTTTATCTTGAGGAGAACTTTTTTGTCTTCTGGGTTGCAGCGGTCTGAGAAAGATGGAGAGAGGATGGCGAAGAAGATGATGATCAGGAAGGAAAATTTTTGAAGGGGTTCCATTGTTTGGACACGTCGAAGTTTGTAATAGCGCGTGTATATATATAGATATTGATATATATGTTTGTTTGTATGTTATGTATGAAATCCTCTGGTAGCTAATCAATGGGCTCTGACCCATGCTTACAAGTTGTATGTATTGCGACTTGTGCATGTATATTGTATATTCTATATATCGTTCTGGGTTGTGTGTGTTGTATGGAATCCTCTGATAGCGTATAATAGTGTGTATATATATATTGTATTGTATGTAGTTTATTGCTAATTCAATGATACAATCTTATTGCATCGAGAAATTGAAACCTCGCAGGGGCTTCTTAAACCTACAGCATTTTGGATAATTCTATTCTATTAAAACTATAGCAAGGCGCAATATAGCAAGGCGCAAGAATTTCGCCATCTTCATTCATAATTTTCTTTGTATAGTGAAACTTTGATAATTATTTTGACCTCAAACAATGTAAGATTATTGAACAAGCTGTAAATATCAACCGGATTTCTATAGATCATTTGACATGCTTGCCAAACCAGTCCAGCATATCTTGATAAGCCTCCTCGGCGCGCTTTACTGCTTTTGGACATTTAGGATCGTATTTCATCGTCCAGCCATGCGAAACATTTGTAAATATCTTCACGTAGCCATCGATCTGTAAAGAAATTTTGAGGTTTTATCTTTTAAAACAGATACCAAATCGTTCAGAATACGTATCACATGCAGACAAGGATCTAGAATGATTTTGTTTCCCCAATTGTTCCAAACATGGAATGACCCGTATCCCAACTGTTTTAAGAGTTCAGAGACAATTCAAAGAAAACATTTGTGTTCAGTACATAAATATGTATATATATGTATACCTCGGGTCTAGCAGCCAAGACTTCTCCATACTGTTTAAAGAGGTCAGGATGGTCATCTTCTGCCCCTAATATGGCAATGGGAACCTTAATCCCTGAAAGAACACAACATTCAATTATTGATCTGTAAAGGATGCTTACAACCCCTTTCCCTCCCAATGTCCCACAGGTCATTCAATCAATAAAACCAAATATGCTTGCACATTTCATAAACTTGGTAGCAGAGATGCCCTGCAGCAGAGTCTGAAGCAGCCCCAGTGGCATGATCCTGGAACCTATACTATCTCCACCACCTGTGCATGTAAAATGTAGATATGCTCGAACAAGTTTTTGTGTACTAATACTTAGTCCTCCGTGGTCCAGTCAATGGCAAATTATCCACATTAAGATTTTGCGAATTTACGCCCATGGTTTCATTTTCAAGGAATTAAACCCAAGATTTGACCTACAAGTCAACACTTGCTTAACAGCAAGATGATCCCTTATGGTTATATTCCTAATTTTTTGTATTTGCTTATTTGTGTATCTAACTAAATTAATTACTCAGCCTTCCTATATATAATTATCTAATCTTTAATAAAAATGACAGCTTTAAGCAATCCTAAACATCGTTTTGGTTGCGAAACTCAGTACCTTTTATTTCATCTGTACTAACATAAGAAGGATGAAACAAAGCAGCAGCTTGAATAAGCTCGTGTGTTCCCAATGCAACCGCAGTTTTACCTGCCAATAGTGTAAGGAAGTCAATTTTAAATGGACAAATAACACATCTTGATATGCCAAACTAACATGATAAAGATTAAATTCTTCACAAATATAAAGGCCATAAGGATATCAGTTTCTTATACATATCTAGGTTCGGATAACAAAGGGAACGATTAAACTACTGAAAAAATAAGAACAGATGAAAATAACTCACCACCCCAACAGATGCCCACAGCCCCAATTGCAGATATACCTTTACTTCTAAGGGCTTTGATTAGTGGCTTTGCATCCTTGAATCCATTCTCCTATTAACAGTTATAATGCTTCAGAGAGTAGGTAACAATTATAGGATGCAGGAAGGCAAACATGGCATAATGTTTAGAAAATTTAAAAACATTTGCCATATTTTCGAAGAAAACAGTTTAAAAAAAAACCTGTCAAACCGAAAAATAAAACTTTGATTTGACGTATGATTGCAAGTTTGATCTCCAAGTAAAATCCAAAATCATTTATAAGTTCCAAGAATCCAAAAATGGTAAACTACGCTCTAGTACCATGTTGTTTTGCTATAAAATTAACTCTTCTTTTCCAATATTTTCGAGGTTTCTTTTCTTAATTTGATTTATTTATGTTGAACTTCCATGCGTACATTTTTATAAGAACACCATGTATAGATTTCTTCTAAAAATTACTATCTACTAAATCAAAGGTATTGAGTGTCAAAAAAAGCTACAGGTATGGACTGTTACATAATCAAATAATTGGAAGTGAATCTATAAATTCCGTAAAAAGAAAAGAACAAACCGGTTTATGATCTGCTAACCATTCAGCTTGAGGTCGATCAGGTTTCCCACGCACAAATGGTTCTCCATGAAAGAAGTCAGGAACTGCCACATAGTATCCAGCAGCTGCAACCTTGTCCGCAAGTTTCCTTCACAGCAGAAACTGAGATTAGTTCCAAAAGAAAATTGGGCAGCCATACAAGAGGAAACATAATACAATTACATCAAAGAGGGTGGCAATTGCTCCAAAATTTTGAAGTTATTAAAATTGTTCTTGTATAACCTCTCGAATTCTGACACCATTAATCTAATAACCTTTCTGATCCAAATCAAAATTTTTAAACTCAAGTTGTTAGTAATATTTGACTTAAGTTTTTATATGAAACTTAAAAGTCTCATATTTTTTTTATATGAAATTGAGATACTACAATTTTCATTACTCAAAGTTTTAATATTCTCATCAAGATAACATATTATACAATCATAAATCATAGTTTAGAGGTCCACAAGGTCTAGAATTGTATCAGTCGGAGTAACTAAACTAGCGTATATTTTGACACTATTTGTAATGCATTAAACCTAAGTACTAGTACTATTAGTTCAATAATTTTTGGATCCAAATCATTAGCCTTCAAAAGTTTAAACTAAAATTTTTAGTGACGTGCAATTTAAGTCTTTTTATGATGTTCAACAATCACATATGTTTCTAATGTGGAGCCTATTTGACACTATTTATAATGCATTAGACCTAAATACTAGTACTACTAGCTCAATAATTTTTGTATCCAAATCATTGGCTCTCAAAAGTTTAAACTAAAATTTTTAGTGACGTGCAATTTAAGTCTTTTTATGATGTTCAACAATCACATATCTTTCTAATGTTGAGCCGAATTTATCACAATTGAGCAATATAGGATGACTAGATTCTGAATCAAGTTATCATAGCTCGAGCTCCCTTTCGATATCATACCTCAAGTTTCGAGCTTCAAACCCTACAGGAAAGACGAGTTATTATATAAAGTTAGATAGTAATATATGATAAAGATTGTCAACTTGTAAAGAAAAACATGCGAAAACTAATGCTATGTTTGAAGCAAATCAAGAATTTCTGTAAAATTCATTTGAAAACTTTAAAATTCTATTCAATGTGATAAAAATTTTGAACTCATGAAAAATTGTGAAAAGGAATTTGGATGATAGATTCTCAATTCAAATAAAAGTTCTCATCCTTACCACTAAAACCAACTCTAATTCCAGAAAATTCTTGATGAAGGAATGACAAAAAGAAAAGGAGAAAATAGAGGTCCAAAACCAACAGAAACATTAAGGATTATCATCCAAATTACCCATCTGTATCAGAAAGACAATAAGATTTATGGGCATACATTATACAGTCTCTGGAGATCAACAAAGCAAATGCAAAATCCATATATGGACAAACAAGCACATCCCAAGAGTACAAGCATTCGTCTGTAAGAATTCTATACACACATATATAAATAAACAATTATATACATTTAAGAGTGTTGGAAGAAGGGTACCATAAACATCAGAAACAAGAACAACGGCACGGTGAGAATCACAAGAGCCAACAAGATAGGTATCAAGACCACCGAGCTTATGCACATGGCCTTCTCCACCGTGCGGGTCCATTACCGGTGAGTCTAAGTAGCATTTAGGACCTGAAATTGTTGATAAAGCAAGCACTGAAATCTCTAAAACCCACGTACACACACAGCTGATTATAAGCTCGTCCTTTATAAGTGCTTATTATACCCATAAGCCATGAGTTGTTAGGAGGACATAATATTTAAAGATATATCTTACTGGGAACCACGCCGTCGAAATGCATAGCCATCACCACCAGAACCAGAAGTGCAGCTATGGCGTTGTTCTTCCCCATTGACGACGTCGCTTTAGTTGACTGATCTTAAAAATCTGCAACTTCTTCAAATCAATCTTCTTCGTCTTCCCAGTCTTTTGTTTTACCAGGTGCTAATTATAGGAGAGATGAGAGGAAGAAAGTTTAAACTTTTAATACTAGAAATTATTTTTTAATGCTAAAAATTAGCATGGACAAAAGCGACGAGTTGCAGACTGAGAGAGAAATATAATTAAAGAAATGAGAGAAACACGGGAGAGAAATGTAAGGGACGTGAGAGAAATTAGTGGGGGGATTTTAAAAATATATGAATGATTAATTACTTAGTCAACTGAAAGATCAGAGAGATAATCTTTTACTTAAAAAATAATATCTTGGGTGGGTGAGACTTAAAGTCTCTATTTTTCTTTCAATTCGGTTCAGCTTCTCTAAGAACCGGGCAATGTGTTCATCGGTTTGGGACGAAGACCAATTACAGTATGTAAATCCAGACCGAAGAGTAAATTAAAATGGAGTCTAGCCGATCAATTTTTCTGATGCGTTTGCGTAGGAGGATCAAAGGAAATATTATTTGATTTAATCCAATTCAAATCTTGTTAGCATTCTCTGTAACTTGTATGTTTTCCTGTTGTATATGCAAGACTTTTATAGCATCCAAATCCAACCAACTTAGAAGAGATTAAATTCAGATTGACCTTTTGTATATTCTGTATAAAAAGATTTTAAGAATTTTATAAAAATTCCTTTTTAAATTTGTATTTTGTTCCAAACATAAAATAATATAAATTTTAGTACATGTAACAACATCAATCTTATATAGAATTTTACATTAAATTAGAAGAATGCATTATAAACTTTATTTATTTCTATATAATTTAAAAATATATGGTTTCAATTTCACTTAAAAGTTTTCAAAAACTTATGTTTGTATTAGTTTAAAGAAAATTTTCATTATTTTATAAGTAAATCAATAATAAATTTATAAATAAATATTAAAAATTTTAAAATTAAAATTAATTTCAGAAATAAAAGTTTCATGTTGCACCAAACCACCATTTAGATCAATCTTATGGACTAAAAATTTTCTAATCTAGTTTTAAACTATTCCATTTCAAGATATCTTTTCTCGTATAGAGAGTTAATTCTCGTCTATTTTATCGTACTTGATTGTAATATATTTTATCGAGATAATTAAATTTTAGAATTACTTTCATACCAGCAAATGCATTTTTTTTTTTACATTTCAATGTTTCCATCATGCTATGTCTGCCTCGCTCTTTCGCATGATGTTCATGACACCAATTTGTGCCAAAACGCGGATCAATGTGTTGCCAAAAACCAAAGGATATTTCATGATATGACATTAATTCGCACCAATTGCCAAATAAATTATGTCATGTTGTGCGAGCAACGATTTCTTCAAATGTTTCCTCAAACAATAAATCTCATGATTTTATTCAGTTTTCACAGTAAAAAACAATAAAATTACACAGCGCTCTTCGACCATTTTATTATGACATAGCAACAGAGTTCTATTATAGATAACGCACAAGATTTCCATCATCATAACATGTTTATCATTTAACATACTTGGCAAACCACTCCAGCATGTTTTCATGAGCCTCCTCTGCAGATTTAACTGCTTCTGCATCTTCTGGGTTGTACCTCAAAGTCCAGCCATGTTCAACTTTCGGGAATATTTTTGCATACCCATCTACCTGTAGTAAACATATAAAATAAACAAATGAATTATATTTCGAAGCTGCTTATACAATTCATTGAAGATTTTGTTTGGTTTAATGTCCATTCTTTATAATAAGAACAGGTCTGGAATTCATACATCAGTTCTAGCAGCCAAGATCTCTCCAAACTGTTCCACGAGTTCAGGAGGAGAGATGTTATCGATTTCTGCCCCCAGTACAGCAAGTGGAGCCTTAATTTCTGAAAGAACCAGTAGGAAGTCAGCTTGAGAACAAAATTCTGAAGCAGGCTTCAGTAACATGTTAACTGGGACCTAGATCATCCCTATCAGCAAAAGTTTATAAACTTTTCTACAGAATTTAAACAATTATGTATTTGTTTTAACACTTAAGAGCTTATAAGTCTTTTCAAGGATTGAAACTTATAACACCTAAGGCTTTCGTTCAAGGATTGAAGCTTTTACCCTTTACATCATCCACAGTGACCAAAGAAGGATGTAAAAAGACAGCAGCTTCAATAAGCCCACACTTTCCCAGTTCAACCACAACTTTAGCTGCCAATAAAAGAGGAATCGACATTAGATGGCCAATCATGCAATTGTTCATCTGTCAAACTGATAAAATCTCACATCAAACTGCCGGCTAATGAAAACTGGATAAAATTAGTTTCCTAAGCATGCTAAGTTGGGATAACAAGGAGGATAATAAAATTACTAAAATTACTGAAAAGTGACACTAACTTACCACCCCAACAGAAGCCTGCAGCCCCAAGTGCAGATATACCTTTACTTCTAAGAGCTTCAATTACTGGCTTCGCATCCTCAAATCCCTTATCCTATAAGCAGATATAATGCTTAAAGAACAATAATCACAGACAAAGCTAAAATCAAAATGAAGTATGACAGAAATTTTCAACCAAATAGAATCCTAACAAACTCAATAAGCTATTGTTTACAGACTCATAATTACAGAGCAGAACAAACCACTCCATGGTCTTTCAACCACACAAGGAGAGGCCGATCAACGTTCTCAGGTACATATGGATCTTTGTAAAAGAAGTCGGGAACAACCACATAGAACCCAGCACCTGCAACCTTGTCCGCAAGTTTTCTTTACAGGAAAAACTAAGATTAGTTCCAATAAAAGTAAACAGCATAAGACGGCAAACAGTAAAAATAAATGAAACTGGGATGACACTGTGCTAGAGAATATTTCTTAGACAAAATAACAACATTGATTTATTATTAGAAATCAAGTATCTGTGGATTATGCAAGATATGCTTATCTAGTTTTAAAGGCCAAGTCATTTTGACTTGATCCTTATTTACACTAAGATTAACTAAAATCTATTGTCAGCAATTGATTCATTAAGGAACACATGTATTACAAGACAACAAATGTAGGATACATTTAAATATCCATATTTATATTCGAATTATAAATATAAAAATGTAGATTTGCAAATTAGCTTCTCTTTTCTTGTGAAATTCATTCACTCTTAAACAGTGTAAATTAAGTAAAAGGTTTGGACTTGTGCCCCAAAAGTTCAATAGTAGACATTGTACTGAGTCATTTTGACTTGATCCTTATTTACACTAAGATTAACTAAAATCTATTGTCAGCAATTGATTCATTAAGGAACACATGTATTACAAGACAACAAATGTAGGATACATTTAAATATCCATATTTATATTCGAATTATAAATATAAAAATGTAGATTTGCAAATTAGCTTCTCTTTTCTTGTGAAATTCATTCACTCTTAAACAGTGTAAATTAAGTAAAAGGTTTGGACTTGTGCCCCAAAAGTTCAATAGTAGACATTGTACTGAGTCATGGTATTTGGTTTGATACCAAGATACCTAGTGTATGGAGAACAGACTGGATTTTTCTTAACAGCTTAAGTTTTTAGCATAAACTACAACCAATTATTTAATTTGGTACCAAAGCCAAAGGTCTAGTGTTGGGACAGTCAGTGCTCAGATTCCGTCGATTTATTAATTTTTCACAAGATATTAGCTAGACGCCTCGATCCACAAACATCTTCTTATCAGTTTAAACTTTTAGGAAAATATATTTAACTCTATCATTTAAGAGGCACCATAGATTTGTTTATCAAGATATTGCAGAGAGCTCCACATGTTACATAAACAACAATTATGGTAAGAGATGTTTTTTTTTAAAAAAGGAATAAGTTAAAGAATTCACAATATGTTCTCTATTTCAAATATGGGAACTGGGTAAGACGTATAATTGAGTTGCAAGTACATGCTTCATGCTCAGGCCTATGAACTGACTTTACCACTAAGAATGCTGAATATCAGGAGACGTAAGACAAAGAACATGGCAAGTAACAACTTAATTTGAAGCCACCTATTTTTGTACCACAGCAGACAAGATTCTCATAAATTGATTTCCCCACACCCAGAAAAGCAAAATATTTTTTTGTAACTTTCCAGCTAACAGTAATATATAGCCAATTCCAAAGCTGAAAAGAAATTATCCAAATGGATTGGCTGACTTATTGGAATAAGTACAAAACTTATCATGATGAAAAGTCAAAGTATCAAAGATGAAAAGAGGGAAGAATAAATTCAGCCAAAGTCATTCAAGCTACGTAGAATAAGTACGGAAGTTCATCATACCTCAAGTTCGGAGCCTCGAATCCTACAGAAAACACCAGAGATATATAGTTAGATAATGATGAATAATAGCTTTTTTTTTCTTAAAAAATAAGAAAGAACAGAGAATCAAATCGATGGCAAACAAACAAGCAAAACCCAGAAATGCTGAATCACCCGCCTATCTAAAGAAAGCTTTAAACCCAGGAAGATTTAGTAAGATCAACAAAGCTATTCCATGACAAAAACTCAAGAGAACCATTAAGACAAAAAGAAACCCAGACAGGGAAATCTCAAAGAAGCAAATATCCATAACCAAAAATGCTGTTTGGGTGTGCGGAAAACGTTAATGAAGAAAAAAACGCACCAAAAACATCAGAAACGAGAAGGATGGCGCGGTTGGATGCAGGAGAGCCGACGATGTAGGTATCAAGACCGGCAAGCTTTTCTACATGGCCGGCTCCACTGTTAGGGTCCAAGGTTGGCGGGTTTGTACAGCACTGAGGACCTGACATTGTTGTTCAAATTTCAGAGCTTGATTGAAAAGAAAATGAAAGAGGAAGACAAGACTGGATATCCTTGTCTGCGACTCCGGTGTGCATATATATATATATACAAGGGAAGAGGGCTCTGTAAGTCTAGAAACTTGTTCGGCTCAATCCACCATTGATGGCTCAACTTTCACCGATTTGGTTAAATTGATCATCTGAATTTTTATTTTAAACAATTAAATTTCTAAATTATTATATTTTGTTTAATTAAGTACTTAAATTTTAAATTAAATATATTTGATAATACTTTTAACAAACGGTATTAAATATAGTGGGTATAATAATGTCATGATAATATATTAAATAAATTTCAAATACATACTTTTATTTAAATAATAATTAAAATATTTTATATTTTGAGAAAAACATACAAAATTAAGATTATAAAGAGAATAATCAATGGGCCTACTTGGCTTATTTCATAAGACCCATCTTGCAATATATCATGAGCTATAATATTAAATATTAAATATTAATAATTAAGTATTAGATTAGCATTTAATTCAAAAAGTTTTAATAATTTTTAAAAATAAATTTTAGACAACTAATTAAACGAATATTAAAATCTCCAATTTGACCAAACCTTTTGTGATAGAAGATAACATGATGGTGATGATAAGGATAGTGGTAGTGATAATTATTTGGTGGTATGGGTGTGGGGAATATTTGAAAAAGAAAAAATAAAACAGTAAATTATAAAAGATATTTAAAATTTTTGGATTAATTAAAATAATGTCTATTATTTTTTAAAAAAAAAACTATTTTTAGATGTTAAAATTATTATTAAAGCATAAATTATTTTTTAAAAAATAAATTTTATGTAATTTAATTTAAATTAAATTATTTGAAAACGCGTTCTGATTATTTTATTTATATATTTTTAAATTTAGCCGACTTTTATTTTTTAATTCCCCATGTGGAGCCGTAAACATTATTTTATTTTATATGAAATGGTTAAGTTCGATGGATATAAAATAAAATAAAATAAAGTTGCATATTTTTTTTAAATCCAAAATCAGCGACATTTTTATTGCTAAAGGTGTTTTATTATTGTTAATAGAATATTCCTTGATTAATTATTTCATATTTTTAAAATTAAATTTTTTCTTTTCTTCTTAATGTCTCTTTAATTTTTTTTTTTTTTATGGATTGTTATGTAAGAATAGAAATAGATTGTTTTATTTTTTATTCTGAATTTAACACGTTTAGTATTTTTTTTTGTTGGGGACTAACTTTTGTTGTTTATATATTTTTTTTAATATAATATGTTTGGAGTGACAATTTTTATTTTTAAAAAAATTTACGATTATTTAATATACTGAATATTAAAATATATAATGTCGACATTATTCAAAAGAAAACATAACATCATTATAATTGAGTACTTATCTTTTCAATATTAAAAAAATTATAAAATTTAAAACAGTTCAGTGAAAAATTACTTTACTCAATGAACGAGATAACATTTCAAAATTAAAATATGAAATTCACACGAGCTGTAGATGATAGAATTACCTATATGCCTTGGGGGTCCCGTCATTGTTGCTAATTAGTCTTGAACTTGTTTTTGGATTTTATATTCTCTAATAATGTAAAAGGGATGAGCCACATGTGTTAAGTAAGAAGTATTTAATAACTTAACATATAAACTTTGAATAGCACAAGTAAACCTTCCC